AGGATGTACTCTAGGTCATTAGATACCAAGTTAACCTCTCTTTTCTCAAAATAGCTATATTACATTTAAAGTGACTTTCCAGCAAATGGCATATTTGGCTTGCGGTTTTTTGTTTTTTATTTTTTAGCTTAGTCTATCAATAGCTGTATTTTAATCAGGCTATTTGCATTTTAGGTAATTGTATTAGTGCCCTAAGGTTGCTGTGAGGAGAGCCATAAAATAATAAATATTTATCGTGTCACAGTTGAGAGCCTGAGTTGTGGGCGGGCTGTGCTCTTCCTAGAGCCTCTAGAGGAAGACATTTTCTTTTTCGCCTGGTCTAGCTTCTGGTGGGGTAGCCCCAGGTGTCCCCCTACTTGCAGCAGCTTAATTGCAGCCTCTGTCTTGTCCTCACTGGGCCATCTTTCCTCTACATGTGTCTTCACATGGCATTCTCCTGTCTCCACCACTTTCTCACATTTCCACCTTCTCATGAAGAAATCAACTTTGTTGGATTAGTAATGACTTTGTTAAAATTTTATTTTATTTTTAATTTTATGTATATGTGTGTGTGTTGCCTGCATGTATGTATGTACACCTTATGTGGGCTTGGTGTCAATGCAGATCAGAAGGGAGCATGGGATCCCCTGGAACTGGAGTTAGAGAGTGCTGGGAACCACTATGCAAGTGCTGGGAACTGAACCTCAGTCATATACAAAAGCAGCAAGTGCTCTTAATCTCAGAGCCATTTCTCCAGGCCCATTATGGCTTTACTGTAACTTGACTACATCTGCAAAGGCTATTTCCATGTTGGGCGGTGGTGGTGCACACCTTTAATCCCAGCACTCGGGAGGCAGAGGCAGGCGAATCTCTGTGAGTTCGAGGCCAGCCTAGTCTCCAGAGTGAGTGCCAGGATAGGCTCCAAAGCTACACAGAGAAACCCTGTCTCAAAAAACCAAACCAAACAAACAAAGACTATTTTAACAAAGGATCCCTTTTAAAGGTTCAGAAATTAGGACTTCGATGTCCATTTTGGGAGAACACAAATGGTAATTGTCAGTATGTTAAGCATGGAGTCTGGCATCTTAGTACTCATTTCCTGTTTGTTTCTTCTGTTTCACTCTTTCAATTTCCTTATTATCCTGTGGATTTTTTTATACAGGGTCTTACTGTGTAACCCAGGCTGGCCTCAAACTTGAGATCCTTCTGCACCGATGTCCCAAGTGCTGGATTTCAGGCATGTGTCACTCCATCTAAACTATGTATGGTATTTTTTTACATTTTAATTTAAAATTAATTATTGTTGTGTGTATGAGGGGGTAGTGGGGTGGTGGTGTGAGGGTGCGTGCAAGCCACAGAACAGAAGTGGAGGCTAGAGGACAACTTTCTCCAGAGGCTAGAAGTGCTTGTCAGATATCACGTCCACTCCCCACCTTATTCCCTTAGACAGGGTCTCTCACAGAACCTAGAGCTAGGCCGGAGGCCACCACGTCCCAGCAACTCTGTTTCCACCACGCACAGCACTGGATTACAGGCATGTCCAGACTGGCCTTTTACAAAGGTGATTTGAACTCATGTCCTCATGCTGTGTAACTAGTGCTTTTACCCACAGAGCCATCATCTGCTTAGCCCTTAGGGTCTCTTAGTTTTTATCTGTTGTTTTCTATCTGTTCTGAGACACTGTCCAGAACAACGCATCACATTTAGTCATCATGTTTCCTTGGCGCCTCTGTATTGTGACCATTTCTCACACATTTATTTTTAAAACCTTGATGTTTTCAGTGACTACTTGTCAGTTGTTTTGTAAAATAATGGAATTTGTCTGGTGCATTTGTCACGATTAAACTGAGTTATGGACTTGGGGGAGACTATGGAGGTAGACAAATTTTCGCCATGTCATGTCAAGGATACCTACTTTCAAAACACCCCACTACTGTCAGTGTTGATCTTTCTAGGCTGGCCGAGGTACTGTTTGTCAGATGTTATTATCTTCACAATAAAGTTACTACCCCTTCTCTATACTAGATGCTTGGAAGCCAGTGTGTATACCAAAGTGAAGGAATAGAGTCACACTTCACTTATTTGAGGAGGGGTATCTATAGATATTTGAATGGAGCATTTGTCTCTTCTCCCTCATGCATGTATGTGTGTGTGAATGTATTGGTCTGTCTGTCCATTTGTCCTGTGGAACAATCATTTATTTCTGTCAGCATGGACTCATGAATATGTGTTTTATACTTTGGCTTAAGATTTAGCACCCATTCCCTTTCTTGCTCAGATTGTTCCAGTTTGGTCATGGAAAGCTCTTGTAGCCTGCTCTTAGCCCGTTTCACCCACCTTTCTCATTTTTGAGGGTACAGTTTCCTACATTTGGGCACAGTTCTAAGTTCATCGTGTGTTCTTCTACTGTGTTCTTGACAGTTCATCTGCTCTTGCACTTGAAAAACGTTCCGCTTAATTCTGTCCTGCATGGCTTCAGATGAGAAATGTATTCTCATTCAGACTGGGGAATCTCTGTAAGTGATGCAGTGTTTCTCTTTGAGTCATTTCAAGACTTTGTCTTTGTCTTTTGTTTTATGAAGATACATTGTGATGTAGCTTGACTTGTGTTTCTCTGTAATAAAATCTTTATTTAAGAATATATTATATGTCGGGGCTGGAGAGATGGCTCAGAGGTTAAGAGCACTGGCTGCTATTCCAGAGGTCCTGAGTTCAATTCCCAGCTCACAACCTTCCGTTACGAGATCTGGTGCCCTCTTCTGGTGTGCAGATATACATGGAAGCAGAATGTTGTATACATAATAAATAAATAAAATCTTTTTAAAAAGAATATATTTATTTATTTATTATTTGGAGATAGAGTATCCCTACATAGCCCTAGCTGGCCTGGAACTCACAGATACCTGCTCGCATGCACTACCATGCCCAGCCTAGATTTATTCATATTTATTTATTTATTTATTGGGATTTTTGAGACAGGGTTTCACTGTATAGCCCTGGCTGTCCTGGAACTCACTCTGGAGACCAGGCTAACCTCAAACTCACAGAGATCTGCCTGCCTCTACCTCCCAAGTGCTGGGATTAAAGGTATGCACCACCACCTCCCAGCTCATTTTTATTTTTTGTGAATCAGTGTTCTGCCCACAAGTATATATGTGCACCACAAGTGTGCCTGGTGCCTGTGGAGGGCAGAAGACAGCACAAGATGCTCTGGAACTGGAGTTACAGTCTGTTGTAAGCCACCATGTGGGTGCTGGGAGCCAAAACCAGGTCCTTTGTAAGAGCAATAAGTGCTCTTAACCACAGAGTCATCTCCTCGGGCCCTGAAATTGACTTAAAAAAGATTCCTTCATTCACTTATTTTATGTATGTGTAAATGTGTCTATGTGAGTGTATAGATGTGTTGGTTTGCAGAAATTTGGCCAATGTGTGACCCTGGAGGCCAGAAGAGGACACTGATGCTCTCTCTCTTCTATCATTCTGCATATTTCTTTGAGGTGGGGTCTCTCCTTGAACTAAGGGTTCACATTTTGTTCTAGGCCTGGAATCCAGCAAGCCCCAGCAAGGTTCTTGTCTCTGGCTGCCTCAGAGTTGGGATTACAGGCATGCACCTAATGCCTGGCTTGTCATATGGGTTCTGGCATCCAAATCCTCATGACTGAGCAGCAAGCACTCTTCCCAGCCGACCCAAGTCTCCAGCATCTGTTTGTTGTTTCTGATTTTGAGATAGGGTCTCATGTGACCCAGGCTGGCCTCAAACTCACTCTGAAGCCAAGGATGAGTTTGAACTCCTGATCCTACTGACTTGCCTCCAGTTTGTACAATGCTAGGGATCAACTCCAGGGCTTCCTGCAAGCTAGACAAGCACTATCAACTGAGCCACATCTGCAGTCTTATAGCTGACTCTCTAAGAATTGTGTACTGTATTATAGGTGAAGATACCACAATTTAACATACATGCTATAGAAAGAAAATCACCAAGAGAAAGGGTATTGATTGCAGCAATACTCTTACTGGCAAAACTTGAAGTAAACTGCAAGGTTAAAGATAACGTGTTATTAATTTGGGCATTTCCTCAGTGATGCAGGCTGACTTAATCATATAGCATAGTATTGCTCACCTTCAGTTTCCTGTTGCCACAAACATATCTATACATGTGTGCTTAAGGTACAAGTATGTGTAAGTATGTGCAAGTATGTAAGGGATATATGTTTGCATTTTAAACTTTAACAGGCATTACCAGATTATTTTTCTAAAAGACTACAGAGGCTCATATTTCTGTCAACAGTGTAAAAGTGCTTGTCTCCACGAATCTTTGCCAACACTGGATATTATCATTTTCATTAAATTTGTGAGAAACACTGCATTACTGTTTTATTTGTATTTCCTTAGTAGAACAGATTTCCTCACTTTTGGCAACTTGACTTTTTTTCTGTAAATGACCTTGTTTGGAATTGAAATATGAACATACTGAATTTATGGTAAGGACTCTGAATGAAAATTATAGGCTTGGCAAACCTTGTTTGACCAGAAAAGAAGCTTGTGTGAGGATGGGGCCCAGGAAATCATGGCTGCTGAAGAGGTGAGGGCTGTTAAAAGAGAAGTCAGACACTGCACACTGTGACAGTAGACAGAAGCCTCAAGGGTGGAAAGGTTTTAACTCATTTGAAGTACTGACTGCAAATATCCTCGCTCTTTAGGTCTGCTAGGAATTGAGACAGGCTGAACACTGTGTCAAAGTCATGGATGTATCCCCAGACCTAGTTGTCTCCCTAGGTGTGGTATTATAAATTCTGGTGATAAACCAGGTGTGATTTATTATATGATCATCTGCTATCATATGACAGCTAGTAGCATTCTAAGCTATCATTAAGCAACCTCAAGAAAAGTGACAATGCAGCTGCTGCAATAATTTGCATAGAATCAGTTGTCTTGACTAAAGAATGTGTAGCCACTGTAAGGAAATTCAAATGCTGACTGCAGGTGAGTGGATTGTAAAATGGCTGTTTTTCTTTTTCTAGGTGATTCTGATATTAGAAGCATGCCAGAACAGATTGCTAAAAGGTAAACCATGTAAAAACATTATTTTGCCTTTGACAAAACTTTTCAGGGCTTGTTAAAAAAGAAGCAAAGGAGAAAGAGCAGCTAGTGCTTTGGTAAGAGAGCTCTGGAGGGTACACTGTTTACACAAACAAAACAAAACAAACTGGGGCCAGGCACTCTTTCACTATGCCACACTCCCAGACCTGAGCTTCTTTTGATGATTAACAACAATACGTTGAAGGACAGGCTCCAAAACTACACAGAGAAACCCTATCTGGGGGAACCGGCAAGAGAACAATACCTTGGTGGATGAGTCCCCTCCCCCACAAGGCATGCGAGTAAGAAGGGGGAACCACACTCTGGTCCTCTGCAAGAACAGCCTGTGTCCTTGACTGCTGAGCCATCTCTCTGGCCTAGACCTAATTTTTAAAACAATTTTTTTAAAGTCAGAGCAATGTCTGTGAGATTTGTTAGGAAGAAAAAGAAGGGGTTCAGCCTAGGAATGAGGAGGATGAGAGAGAGTCCTGTGGGTGAAATTGATATGTATATAATGACTATTCATTGTAGATACATATGAAACTGTCAGATGAAATAAATAAATATGGCATGTTAGCTTTGGTGCTGTGTTTGGAACTAATGGTGGGAGACATTAACAAAACAGCACAGAGTGATAGTGTAGATTCAGGTAGCTCTTCTAAATAAGGTATTAATTCTACTGTTCCATCTACTTCTCTGGGAAGGAAACGAGAGGATTAGGTCTCTGTCTAATAAGGGAGAGGAAGAGTATGGGTAATGAGATCAGCTTCTGTTTGGAAATCTGCTGTGTGCTAAAAAAAAACTCTCGCTAAAATCCCCACTAGCAAAGACTATGTGTGGGCTTTGAATACCTGGCACACACTGTAGATGCTCAATAAATATCTGAATTTCAACTGTTAAATTACTCATTCAATCTTGGTGACAACCGTATGAGCTAATTATTTTTGCCTACATTTTGCAGATTAGAACCTCAAAATTTAGAGAGTTCATTATCTCTTCTGGTTTACAGGAATGTGCATAGATAGTTTATCCTTATGGGAGAGGACAGCCCAGGTCTTAGGGTGAGAGATTCAGGAGATGACGCAGTGGGGGAAGAAGACAGCTCTTTGTCCCTGTTAGCATGCTTTAGAGAAGTTTCCGGGAGTGCAACCTGGCTTTTGAAACTGGGTAATTCTTTGTAGATGGGGCTGTCTGGGGCTGTGGGTGATGTTGAGCAGTATCTTAGGATGTCTCTAAGATGCCCACTCCATGTTTTGACAACAAAAAATGTCTCTAGACATGGCCAGGGGTTAAAATCTCCCCTGATTGGGAACTGCTGCTGCCTTAGACACTGACACAACAGGGACAGGACTGGCCAGGAGCCTCTCTACCCTCAAAGGGGGTGTCTCTGCCGATTTTTCCCACAGAGTCAGTGATCATCAGCCTGATGTGGGCACCAAACTGTCCTTGGTCATTTTTTTCTGCTTTTTTTGTTTTGTTTTGTTTTTCAAGACAGGGTTTCTCTTGTAACAGCCTTGGCTGTCCTGGAACTCACTCTGTAGATCAGGCTAGCCCCAAACTCACAGAGATCCATCTGTCTCTGCCTCAAGAGTGTTGGGATTAAAGGTGTGCAGAACCACCCAGGCTGACCTTGGCCATTTTTTTTTTGGTTTTTTGAGACAGGGTTTCTCTGTGGCTTTGGAAGCTGTCCTGGAACTAGCTCTTGTAGACCAGGCTGGTCTCGAACTCACAGAGTGAGTTCCCGAGTGCTGCGATTAAAGGCGTGTGCCACCAACGCCCGGCAGACCTTGGCCAATTTTAAATCAGCCTTTTTCCTGTGTCTTGTATAGTCTTTTTACTCTAGTAAAAAGTTCTGTTTTCCAAACATGTGTTCTGATACACACTTGTAATGCTAGCACTTGGGAAGTAGAAACAGGAGGATCTCGAGTTCAAGGCTAGCTTGCACTACATAATGAGTTCAAAGCCAGTTTGGGTTCATATCAAGACCCTGCCTGAAACAAATGAATAAACAAGCAAGCAAAAACTTCAAACCGATATGTTGCTCTTTCTTGGGTGTCCCTCCACTGCCTATATCTACCCAACCCTTCCTCCTAGACCATCCATGCTTTTCTTGGTGTGGAGGCAGAACTTTGTGAGGTTAGGAGCTGAATGTGCTCAGTAGGTTTGTATTTTCTGGTAAGATCCAGGTCCCTTCTGCTACTAAACTTTACCCTAGGCCCCGAGGCTGCCTGGCGCTGTCCCCACAGCTCTGCTTCCTTGTCATGAGTCTTCTCTGTGTTAAGGAGATGACAATCATATTTGTGGAATTCCATCTGCCTATTAACAAACAGAGTGTAGTCGTGTCTGTCTGAACCCAAGCCTCTTGCCTTCCCTCTACCCTATTTCTCAAACACGGTCACAGTACCCTGGAAGGCAAGTTGCCAGATTGAGAAAAACAACCAACCAAGCAAAAAAAGCCAGAATGTTCTATTAAATATGAATATAAGTGTGTCCCAATTACTACAACTATTTTTGGTAGAAATTCATTCATCACTAATCTGAATTTCAAACTTAACTGAGTGTCCTGTATTTTATCTGGCAGTCCTGCTAGAGAGCTTATCAGAAGAGAAATTCCAACTTGGTAGATCTGGATGGGGCCTAAGACTTTGTTTATGCTGGGTTAGGGACTAGACTATGGAGAGCCCCTGGCATAGAGGATAAACAGAGAAAGATAAGGTTGCTGCCTGCCTCAGAGCATCAAAGGTAAAGAGAAGAGTTGCTGAAACTTGAAGCAGTGGCTTGGTTTTTAAGTAGTGCCCCACATCCCTGCCCTATCAGGAATCCATTGTGAAGGATGTGTCAATTTTAGTGTTTTTAGAGTATTTGTAGTGCCACGATCCAGTCCCAGGTAGTTCAAATACTAGGGGAGCACCTCTCACAGGACAGTAATCCCCAGCTCAGGCTGTAAATTTTAATGGTAACAGTAGTGGGCCTAGCTAGTCAAAACTATGGATGTTAAGCATAGATACAAAATACTCTGATGACCACTTTATCTTACTATTTACCCATTGTTTAACTGTGAATACATCAGGAGAATGCTTCAGTTTATAATCTGAAGGGTTCTTTTTTGTTGTTATTCTTGTTGTTTTTTTGTTTTTTGAGACAAGGTTTCTCTATGTATTTTCGACTGTCCTAGAACTCTCTCTGTAGACCAGGCTGATCTTCAACTCACAGGGGTCCACCTGCCTCTGCCTTCCCAGTGCTGGGATTAAAGGTGTGCACTGCCACACCCAGCTATTAATCTGAAAGGTTCTTTTGCAGAGGGCACCAGATCTCATTCAAGGTGGTGAGTCATAATGTGGTTGCTGGGAATTGAAGTCAGGACCTCTGGAAGAAGAGTCAGTGCTCTTAACCGCTGAGCCATCTCTCCAGCTCAATCTGAAGGGCTCTTAAGAGCTAAGAAACTTTCTTCCTCTTCCTTCCACCGCCTCCCTCTCTCATCTTCCTCCATCTGTCTTTCCTTCAGCATTTTTGCTAATTACAAAAATAAAGCATGATCAGTAGATTTCAAACAGGCATTATAGCAAGTCACACTTTGAAAGAGAACTCCTCTGTAGTGGCAGCCCTGAGAATAGCTCTGTTCATTGCTGCGTATTTATATGCAATCTCTTTGCATAATCCCAATGTGTAGAGTTTTATTTATTTTATTAAATGAAAATTTGAGTGTACTGAACCTACTGTTCTGATTTTTATTTTAAAAATTTCTATAGAATTTGGACATCTTCCAATACCAGTACACATGATCTAAAATTTAAAAGATTGGCTTTTTAAAAATTTTTATGGCTGGGCATTGGTGGCACACATCTTTAATCCCAGCACTCGGGAGGCAGAGGCAGGCAGATCTCTGTGACTTTGAGGTCAGCCTGGTCTACAGAGCGAGTGCCAGGACAGGCTCCAAAGCAATACAGAGAAACTCTGTCTCAGAAAAAAAATTTATGTGTATAGGTGAGTGCCAAAATGTATGTGTGCCATGTGAATGTCTGATGCCTGTGGAGACAGGAGAGGGTATCAGACTCCTCTGGAACTAGAATTATAGGCAGTTGTAAATTGTCACATGGGAACTGGGAATCAAACCCAGGTCCTCTGCGAGAGCAGACAGTGCTCTTAACTGCTAAGCCATCTCTCCAGCCTAGATCTAATTTTTAAATTAAAATATTTTTTTTAAAAAGCAGGGCAATGCCCCCTGCCCTAGCCTTCTGACCACCCCTACACTTACCCAATTGGCTAATATACTTTCTTCTTTCTTAGGCTCCGACAGGGTCTCACTATGTAGTCTTGGCTGTTCTGGTCTGCACCCTGTAGACCAGGCTGGCCTTGAACTCACAGAGATCTGCTTGCCTCTGCCTCCCTAGTGCTGGGATCAAAGGCATGCACCACCACATTGGCCATTCTTTTTTTTTTTTTAATCACAGTGCTGCGGATGGAGCTCGTGCTTCCCGTGTGCTGGGTAAGCTCTGTAGATAGCACTGAGCAACACTCCCAACTCTTTTCCAGCTATTTCTCTCTTACAACTTGCTTACTGAAGAAACTGGGAAATTTGACCTATAGCATTTTCTCCAAGTCTGGGTTTTGTTGTCTCCCCAATGATCAAGATTACCATTTTCTCTGTACTATATTGTCTTTAAATATTTGAAAGGTTTATTATTATGGTGTGTGTACATGATGTATGCGTGTGGGCATACATGCCACGTGGCACTTGCGGAGGTCAGGGGACAACTTTGTGGAAACACTTCTGGCCTCCTACCTTTACATGTTCTGAGGACTCAAACTCATGTCAGCAGGCCTACATGGCAGGAGCCATTCCCCGCTGAGCTATTTTACCAGCTCCTGTACTTTATTTTCTTTTTTTATTATTGTCTTCAGACAAGGTCTCACGTAGCCTAGATTGGCTGCCAATTCTAAATAGTGAGGAGAACCTTGAACTGCTCCTCCCGCTTCCATGTCCC